CAATGGTGGTGCTCCACCCTTGAGGGTTTCTAGGTATTTCTAGTGTTCACTACTCAACAAAGGACAGAGGACTAACACAATGTTTCTCTTTTGTACTGGCAGTTCACAACCCTCTTTCAACGTGCAAGTATTCTTAGCAATGTACAGTCTTCAAGTGATGATCTTGCAGGTACAATATATATATATATATATATATATATATATATATATATATATATATATATATACTTTTCTAATACAGCTCTCAATTATGACACTTGGAATATAAACATTTTGCTGATGCACTTCCCTAGAGCAAGGAACTCCTGTTTTGCAGTGTCTCCACCCACCTCCACTGTAGAGTTGAAATATTATTTACTATGAATATAAATCATGATTTGCAAGTTGTTAATGTAAACCTCTGACTTGAACCTCACAGTATAGGGGTAACAGGTATTGAATACATTGATTAGGTACCAGTTGTATACTAGAGTGCTTTTTCTCACATCCCCTCTGTGAAGCATTGTCTCCATTTAGTTAATAAGGAAACAGTCCCAGAGGTGAAATAGCTTACCATTATGTGCTCTCTCTACAAGTCATGTCCCATTTTACATCAGATAAAAATGAAGGGAAATGACCTGGCTGAGGTTGCATAGCCAGCAAATGGCCAAACTGGGGCTCAAACTCTGCACAACTTGTGGCTTTCATCCCACACACTTTCTTTCTGCCAGCCTGGGGCTACATCCAGTCATCACTGTACCCCAGAAATAGGCAATGACAAGGACAGCCTGCAAAGTTTAGTGGAAAGGAGAGGAAGACCCCCATAGAGGTTCCCATGACATATCAAATAGTAAAATCACATTCTTCTTTACCTTTAGTTTGACAGGAACATACCTCTTCCCCACTACTATATTCTGCAGGATCCAAAAACTCACTGGACAGCAGTTATAAAGTCAAAGATTATATTTTTGTGCTAATAAGGGCCATGGGAGGAATAAATACAAATGGCCAACTTTATGCTAAGATGCTCAAAATGGCAAAGTCCCACATAAGAGAATTTATTAAAAATTGCAATGCTGTCTATTTATGAAAACCCACAAGAAAAAGGACTTCTGGACCAGTACATGCCCATTACATCTTATACTGTATTTTTTAAAAAGACAGTTTTATTGGGAATCTAAATCAGTTTATTAGGTGCATTGATTCACATTATGCACTTAGAGTGCATTGTGGCCTATTCACTTCAGCCATACAAACCTCAGGCACATGTCTCTCTTCACAGTGACCAGTATCAACCAGATGGACCCCACTACTCTGCCCATAAACCCATCAAAGCATCGGAATATCTGTGTCAAAGAGAATTGGTCTCACCAAGGTGACTTCATTTTTTAATATTCTATTTTTTAGTTGTAGATGGACACAATAACTATTTATTTATTATTTTTTATGTGGTGCTGAGGATTGAACCCAGTGCTTCACTGAGCTACAACCCCAATCCCAAGGTGACTTCATTTTAACATGAAACCTAACTCTCCTACTCCCAATACAGAGTGAACACCACATCTACTGCTTGGTTTTTCTTTGACTTTGAAAGGAGTATGGATCAGTAACCAAAGTGTTTGCTGTGCTCAAGATGAGCTTCGTGTGTGCTGGGATCCTAGGATAACAGCCACCTGCTAATCTAGAGCAATATGTAGAATCTCATAGTGACTGGCAAATTAGTTGGGCACAGTGATGCACACCCATAATCCTAGCAGCTCAGGAGGCAGAGACAGGAGGATCCCAAGTTCAAGGTTAGCCTCAGCAACTTAATGAGGCCCTAGGCAATTTAGTGAGAACCTGTCTCAAAATTGAAAACATAAATTAAAAGTGCTAGGGATGTAGCTCAATGGTAAAGTGTCCCTTGGGTTCAATCCCTAGTATGCCCCCCCCCATAAAAAGAATGCATAGCAACTAGCAAATTGAGGGGCATTGTTTCCAAGTGCCATCCAAGATGGTCATTAACAGGAACATCCTGGTCCCTCCCCAGGCTTACCCATTCAGTATCTCTGGGAAATAATGCCCAGGCAAATGCATTTTTAACAAGATTCCCTATGTTTCAAAAATAGTGCTTCTTTTTTCCACTCCAGTGAGATTTTCAGAATATGTTCTTGCAGTACATGCCTTAGTCTTGCAACTAAAATCTTTGTCTAACTTTTTCAAACTATTTAGGTCCCCATTCAAGCCTCTGTCTTTGGTCCCTATAGATTTTGACTTTTTCCTTTTTAATGTCTACATCATTCTTGGAATTGGCTCAGTAGGCTTTTTTAGTGTTATCAGCTATGATGAGGAAGACAGATTCTGCAGAGTTGGCTAAAGAAACATCAGGGTGCAAGGAGTACAGAGCTTGCCATGGTACCAACTTGGCTACTTTCTGCCAATCTGTCCTTATATGAAGGGTCTGAACTCACCAACCTCTCCTGCTTTCCTCACAGGGGTATCTAATACAGCAAATAAAGACTCTGTGAAAGCATAAGGTTATTTTCTGTAAATGCTACTGAGTCCTAATTATCAATCCCCTATCATGACCACCTCAACTAGAAAGACTAATCAATATCTGTATCTCTCTTGGTTGTTTACAGACCCTAAGCCTAGTACTTCCAAACAGGGCTCTGAAATGATGAAGAAGATGTCATCAGCTATGGCAAAGGCGTTTTCAAGGTCTAACGCCAATATTTCTAAGTCTTCCCCACCCCCACCCTCACCTCCTCATGAAGACAGAAGCTGAAGCTGCTATAACTGACATAAATAAGCATGCTAACCTTCTTCTCAAAATAAATGGGTTTTTGAGCACGACACAGTGTCTATCCTACATGCAGATTCTCATGGATGCTGAACATAAGGAAAGTTTGATCAATGCTTTTGTTGAGCATTCTGGCATGGAAAGAAGAGCTGGGCCTCACACACAAATGCATCTCCTAGGCAGTATGGGTTTTAAGCTCTGCTCTTGAGGGCCCTGAAGCCTTATTGGGAAAATAAGACTGATAAGTAAAGGTGTGATACCAATAACATAGTGTGCTATGAAGTACTTCCCCTGAAGGGATCTAAGGGATCCCAAGGAGGGAGTCATTGCTGTGAGCTGGAGTGATCAAAAGTTTCCTAGGACTAGAATTCAGCCAAATCTCAAATGATGAATGGGTTTAAGTGGGCATGGAAAGTGCCAAAGAGGCTTGCACTATGAACCACACATCTACTTCCAATTCTGCCATGCCTGAAGGTTACAACTGAGTGCTGTCCAAGAGAATGTTTGCTGATGAGGGGATTGGTTTACATATACAGAGTCTAGTATAGCAGTCACCAGACACATATGTGGCCATTGAATCACTAGTGTGATTAAGGAACTGGAATTTTTTCATTTTATCTCAATTTAAGTAACCATATGTGGCTGTTGGCTCTCTCACTGGATAGTGCAGTTCTAGTCAGTATGTGGCCTCATGGACACAAGCCAATTCAGGTGATGCTGAGAGGTTCCTTGAAAATTCATTTCCAAAGTCTTTCCCCAAACATCTAAGGCAGTGCAGCGGTGTGACTCCTCAGAGGATCTCTGAAACCTTCAGTCATCCTCTTGACCTCTTTAAGACACATGCACCACCAATGTGGCTAGAAGCAAGTTCCTGCTTTTCAGCCATACCTGTTCATCCATATTCGCCAAAACTCAATTTAATGGAGAAAGCATAGGCCCCATCTAGGCCTGACCAAACACCAACCCTGCTGGCACCTTGATCTTGAAGGAAGGAATCAAAGAGCAGATCAGAACCTGTGTTCACCAGGGGGCCTCAAACACAGTGCTGGTCTAGAAACAGCTTCTCTAGACAGAAACATCACCTTGGTACTGAAACAACCATTCTGGCCTCCCTTGAGCCACTCAGTAAACAGGAAAATGGTCACTCATCTAGTTATTCTCTATCTTGGCTTTATCCAAAGGTAGGTTAGAGGAAGTTCCCAGAAATACTTTTTGGCAAGTAAATTTCCTTCATGTGTACCTGCATTCCATGAATGTTAAGTGAACTGAATTTTAGTATCTAGAATGCCAGGCAATTCTGATGCCCACATATATATACTCAAACTTGGCTATCTTCATCTGCTCACTCATTCCTGCCTGCCCTCACATACTAAATAATTCATCAAATGCAGCAGCATAAGTTTTGAAGTCAGTTCTTAAAGGTCTACAATATAATAAACACTGATCTTACATGTTTTTAATTCATTTTTATTAGTAATAAAAATTCATACAGAAATCCAAAATACAAAAGATACAGTGAAAAGCCTTTCCTCTCCTTCCCATCACTCAAATGCTACCTACTTCTCTTAAGAAATGAGTTCTGCTACTAATGAAGATAGTCTGAGAAATAAAAAAGTACATTAACATCTATCTTTAAAAAGAAGTTCAAGTATCCTCCCTTCAGAAAAGCAGAAAACAGGGAGGGAGGGGAAAATGGAAGGAAAGACAAAGAACATCAATGTGTTCTTTGACAGCCATCATTTTCTGGTAACACTGCTTGGAGCTTGTTTCTATGCTCACAATCCCACCTTTGAATAAACAAAGTCAGCCAGCTCTCCTTTACAGAATGCTGTTGGGCTAATTAACCAATATCCAAAAGTGAGCACCAGAATAGGAGGAAAGGTGCCTAGCATATCCGTTCAAAGTCTGCTGGCTAAAATATATTAAAATCTATGAGCTAGGTATGCCAACATCCTGCTAGTCTGATCCTTGTTCCCATCTGGGTATCAGTTTCCTACAGCAGTGCAGGTCGCTATGCTGGAGGCCAGCAGAAGGAGGAGTCAACTTACTGAAATTTTGCAGGTCTGTTCTGAGCACCACCAAGGTTGGAAAAGTAGACAAAAATAATTGCATTCAAAGAATAAGCAGGAAAAAAAAGGAAGGATGAAGGCATAAGATGAAACCCTGAAAACCAAAAAATGAAAATGAACCAAAGCTTGAGGTAAAGCCAAAACCTGAGGAAAAGTCAGATTGGGAGAAAAAAGCAGAAGAAACTTTTCATGAATGTTTGATTCAACCTCTCCAGGAATTTAGAGAAGTTATACACAACAGGCACTTAAGCAATGAAGGTATGTTTAGGGAAGTGGATGAAATAGATAAGGAGAATAAGAAACAAACTTATAATGATGTACTGGTGAAGTTAATGAAAACCATCTTTACCCCTATTTAATATAGTTAACCTTGATTTCTATATTACCTGATTGCCACATAACATTTTTATTAGCATTTTCCTGATATCTTTGTCCATCTTTCTACTTTTAACCTGTTGCTGTTAGAAGTGGTCTTAGATGTCTCTCCTGTTGTCTATATCTATTGTATTTTGAACCAATCTACAAGTTTCTACCTTTTAATAGAAGAGTTTTACTCATTTGTTTAAAAAGAAGAGGTTTCTGATAATATATAAAATGAAAAAGGTTATATTTTTGAAGAGTACATTTGTATATTACATATATGAACACAAAAACTACGGTGAAGGATGACAGGCAAAAAGTATCATCTCAGTGGTAGGATTATGAATTTTTCCTGTTTATTTGAATTGTCCATATTCCTAAATGAATACACATTATCATTGTGAAAAATGATAAAGGTTTTTATAACTAAAAAAGCATCAAAATGTATGAGTAGTATCTACAGTCCTTGGACATGGAACCATTTAAAGATCTAAAGCCTACACATAACAACACAAACTGGGCCTCACCTGCAATGAAAGCAAATGCAAATTAGAATAACCTGAAGGTATCAAGATAACTTTCAGAGAAGATAAAAAGAAATAAAATGATAAAATTCAAGGTTGTCCAGAATGTAGGGAAAAATTGCATTTGAATTCTATAGTGCTGATAGTTCTGCCAATTTAGCATTTCTGAAAAGCAAACTGACAATAAAGCAAGCTACGGTTCTATCTGTACTTTTGGAGCTGGTAACTCCATTTTGGAGAATATGGTCCTTGGAAAATTCTAAAAGGAGGAAAAATTTTAAAAGGACTGCAAAAATTTCCAAAGTAGTACTATTATTAAAATGGAAAATTAAAATAATCCAAGTAGGAGGCTGGTATGCTGTATTAGTAAGAAATGCTATATAGCCACTAAAAATGATATGGATAGTGACAACACAGAAATGTCCATACAAGTGAAAAAAAACAAAGATATGCACTCCAATAACAATCACAAAGTATTGTCATGCATTTGTCATTTAACAATCATGTTGTATACTATTAAAAATTCAAAGACCTCAGGGATTTAAGATGAAAGGGGGCCAATGCATTGAGGGACCAATGCATCTTGGATGACATTCTATGGGTCATACTTAATTTATTAAATGCCAAATTCTTATCACAAATGTAATTGCCAATTATTTTCTACTGAAAAAAATATATAACCTGCTCTTATCTATTTTATGATGCACTTTCCAGTAACACTTGCAGAAATCAGGAGCCACTTATTTAGTAAAGGAAGAACTCTAGGTTAAATCCTTCATAGTGCAAATAATCACACCCAAAATTACATCTTCAAAGTTTACATTTTCAGATCAAATAAAAGACACCAGGAAACATTTGGTCATAACAGCCCAGTGCAAAACACTTTACACTTCAGTAGAATATGATTTAGATGACGACCATGTCATTCCTTTCAAAGAGCTTCAAAACATGTTTACAGAAAGGATGGCCTGTTCCAGATAAAAATTATTTCCAATTTAAGAGTCAATGAGTCCATCAACTGCCAAGACAGGTACTTACTAGGTGGATGAACTAACAGGAAACAGAACAGAGACAGTCAGACTCAGGCATTAATTAGGCCACATCATAAAATAAATATGCCAAGAACTAAAAGCATTTTTGTGAGCATTTCATTTAATATGGCTGTTAAGCATTGAGGTCATTGGAAAATTGTCCACCAATGAACTTCCACTGTCCTCTGTAAAGGGAACCTGTGAACGGAATGAGAACAATCACTGTTCCCAAAGGTTAACTAAAACAAATGGCTAGTGGGCATGGTGGTTCACGCCTGTAATCCCAGCAGCTTGGGAGGCTGAGGCAGGAGGATCACAAGTTCAGGGCCAGCCTCAGATATTTAGCAAGGTTCTAAGCAACTTAGTGAGACCCTGTCTCAAAAGAAAATATAAAAAATGTGGGGATGTGGCTTAGTGGTTGAGCAACCCAGGATTCAACCTCTGGTACCAAAATAATAAATAAAAATAATGGCTAATGGATTGTTTCAGGCTCAGCCTAGTGAAGGCTAAATCTGTGCCTCTAGAATCTGAATGCTGGGAGCATAACTGACAGCTGGCCACAGTGGCTGAGCTGCAGCTGAAACCCAAATGGCTAAAATCTACCATCAATCACCACATCTTCACCAAGCCTAGACTTCCCATGGGCATGCCCCAGTAGGGCAGAATCACTAAAGCAAATGATTTCTTTAAGACCCTGAGACTGCCCTAACAGAAAACTTTGAGCCAGGGGCCAACCTCGTATAAGATGGCAAGGAGTAAACCTATCATTTACCTCCCAGAAGCAGAAAGGAGACAATGAGACTTTGTGGTTTAGAACAAGAGTTTATTAAAACATAGTGAACACTATGAACATCCACATAGCTTCTCCAACTCCCCTGCTCCCAAGTACCAGGGCAATGCAATAGGCTCAGATGAATGCAACATATGTGGGGGGTTGGATTACAGCTGAGGAATCTGGGGTCAAGGACTTGGGACTTTTTGTGTAATGAGCAAACAAACCAGTATCCCTCCCCTGGAAAGCAAGTTTAAATAGTACTCACACTGTGATCACTTAGTTGCCTACGTGACTGCAGCAATAGCTCAGTATTAGGAGATGAATAAGCTTGCAGTCTAAGCCAGCCAATAAGAACATGAAGGCGTGCTCAGGGTCTAGGTACACAGCCTCTCCCAACAGACACATTTCTTTGCCTGAAAAGGTCTTAGAACCACACAGTTCAAGGCTCTTTCTATCACCCCTCCTAACTTCAATCTCATCCACAAGGGTTAGACCTGTATCCAGGCTCTTCCCAGCTTCCTCCCCATTTCCTTTGGTTTTCCTTAATCTCTTATGTTTAATCCCATCTTCACATCTGCTTCTCAGAGAGGCCAAACTAGCACAACTGGTGCCAGTGAAACAGGAAAACAGGCCATGGTAAGATGGGGTTCTGGACACTGTTGTGAGTGGGATATTGGACACGAATAACCTATGACAGGGTCGCAGTCCACTGCTAACAATTTCTATGGAGATGGCCTAGGGGAATGGCCTTTCAGGTGTGCTAGCACCTTGAAATATGGGATGGGAACACTCAACCAGACATCCCCGAGGGTACTGACCCTGCAACCACTATGTTCTTCTCTAGTGCTATATCATATTATATAGCACTTCCCCTGCACCAGAAGAGGCTACAAACTAATTCCCAAAGCCTAGAACTAATGTACCCCTCAGAGGAGCTGAATGCAGCCTCTCCTGATTATTAAGGGGATGAGTAGGGTTTAATCCCAACATAGCCTGGCTATGAAATACTGGGCTTATTAAGTTAGAGCATACATACCAGCGAGCTACTAGAATCAGCTGACACACACCAACAAGAAAGCACTAGGTTTGGATTTCAAGGATGCTATATCAAGAAGGCCAGAAAAGCAAGATTTCAGACTTGGAAGCACTTTCTCAGGATTCATGTTTTAACCCCCTGGCAAAGACCACTCTGGGCAAGCAGCCTCTAGGTGGCTCCTGGAAGGCTGGTAAAAGTAATGGCCAATGCTGAAAAAAAAAATAGCGGCCTTAGCTGCCTTGGAAAACAGCACAGAAAGAAAAAAGTCAAAGAAAAGGGTATACTGGAGTGGAGGGACTACGTGATCAAAAACCCCATCATATGACAGTGCTCCACAGAGGGGTCAGAGAAAACAAGGGCCATCAGGAATGTACTGGTGAAAGGGGCACTAGCATGCCTAAGGTCAGGGTAGCTTCTGCTGCAAGTCAAAGAGGACAGAGGGAAACCCTCAGAGGTGGACTCTAACATCCAAGGGAATAAAGGGGCTCCAAAGGAACAGAGTAGGTAGATGCACTTAAGCACCAGACTCAGGGAGGCCACAAATACTGTAACTACAAGGTCTGATGGGTAGCCAGGAGGGCTTTATTTTCAGGCAGTCTGGAAATGGCTAAAGGAACATGGTATCCCCAAGAGCAATACCAACAGCCAAACAAAGGTGTTACTCAGTATCTAGAGGCTGAAAAAGAGTGGAAGAACAGGAGCCTGAGTACTTTTCCTCTAATAAAAATTTATAATTTCTTAATCAACTCCCAGACTTCTTCAGCCCATTTCAGATCTGGAAAGAGGTATCTGGGTTCCTGGGGAGGACAATGGTACGCAATGACTTCCCTAAACTTCCCCAAAGGAACCTATAGCCACTTACTTGAATGTATGTACACTGGGGAAAGAATATTCTAACATTTTGATGTACAGTGCACCAAGAACCTAAGTTGACTAATACCTAGAGACTGGAAGCATCATCACAGTGCCCGTTAAACTGAGGATTTATTGAGGCCAAGTAACAACTAAGTTCTGAGTGACTCAAATAGGGCTCATAGTGAGCCTACTGATTTACTCAGTGGTCATTTCCTAGACCCAAGTATATAACTGGAATCATTTTGGTAGTTGGAATAAGCCCCGCAAGGGTTCCATTGCCTGTCGAGGAACAGCTGTCCCAATAAGGAAAGCCAAGTAGAAATGTCTAAAACTGAACGCCACGCTTGGACAAGATGGTAAATTATGATGATTAGTTTGTATTAATTTGTCTTAGGCTGGCTATAGCTCCCAGTTGTTCAAAACACTAAATCTAGGTGTTGCTGGGAAGATATTTTATAGATGTGGTTAACATCTACCATTAACTGATCTTAAGATTACCCCTGATGAGTTGAGTGGGTCTCATCTAATCAGCTGAAAGCCTTAACAGTAAAAACTGTTCCCCTGGTAAAATTCTGCCTAAGGACTACAATGTCAACTCTGACCTTATGAATTTCAGGCTTACCTAATCAAGCCCTCACAACTTTGTGATTCAATTCTGTCATGTTTTAAAACAATAAGACAAAATGATTCAGTCAACTGCATAGGCCTTTGTCACTGGCTAACACAGACCAGGCACTATGGGCACATGAACAAAATAGACACAATGGCAGAGACAGAGGCAAATAGCAAGGACTACTATTTATCAGGTCTGATCCTGTAGGACTTTTCTAAAAGGTGACTTTAGCTCAACAACCCACCATTGGTCTTGCTGAAACTTTCTTATACCTGCATTACAAGAATTTTCCTAAACATCCTTCTTCCACTCTCTTCTTCAGACATCACACCTAACACCATAGTCTGACAGCTTTCCCACACTCCTCCAGCTCCCTCTCTATTCTTCTTTATGGGAATTTCAATCCCACCACAATCTCCTGCACAGATAATCAAGGACCTACCCAAACTAACACACAGGATAAATTAAGTACATATTAAAGCTCTGATCCTCCCTTTTGCAGGTCAGAAATTCAATTTCAACCACTTGTGTTTCTTCTTCTGTGAAGTGCCTATTCAGTTCTTTGCCCATTTATTAACTGAGTTATTAATTTTTTGGTGTTATGTTGTTTGAGTTCTTTGCATACCATGGAGATTAATGTTCCATCTGACGTACAGGTAGCAAAGATTTTTTTTTCCCATTCTGTAGGCTCTCTGTTCACATGTTTCCTATGAAAAAATGTTCAACATCTCTAGCAATTACAGAAATGTGAATCAAAACTACAGTGAGATTCCATCTCATCCCAGTCAGAACAGCAATTATAAAGAACACAAGTAACAATTAATGTTGATGAGGATATGGGGGAAAAGGCACACTCGTACATTGCTGATGGGACTAAAAATTGGTGCAAGCACTCTGGAAAGCAGTATGGAGATTCCTCAGAAAACTTGGAATGGAACCACCATTGGATCCAGCTATCCCACTCCTCGGTTTATACACAAAGGACTTAGTATCAGTATACTATAGTGATGCAGCCACATCAATGTTTATAGCAGCTCCATTTACAATAGCTAAACTACGTAACCAACCTAGATGCCCCTCAATAGATGAATGGATAAAGAAAATGTGGCATATATACACAATGGAATATTACTCAGCCTTAAAGACGAATGAAATTATGGCATTTGGCAGTAAATGGATGGAACTGGAGCATATCATGCTAAGTGAAATAAGCCAATCCCAGAAAACCAGAGTCCGAATGTTCTCTCTGAAATGTAGATATTAACCCAAGGGAGGGTAGGGAGCAGAAGAACAGAAGTTCATTGCATTAGATAAAGGGGAATGAAGGAAAGGGAAGGGGTAAGGGAATAGGAAAGACAGAATGAATCAGACATAACTTTCCTTTGCTCATAAATGAATACATGACCACTCTAACTCCACATTATGTACAATCATAAGAATGGGATCCCAATTAGAATGGGTTGTATTCCATGTATGTACACTATGTCAAAATACACTCTGCTGTCATGTATATATCTAAAAACAAGAATTTTTTTAAAAAGAAAGAAGTTGAAAATGAGCTCAGGATTTCAAAAAAAAGAAATTCAATTTTAACAATGGAGCACAAGCATTAAAGACCCAGTGAACCTGTTCCTCCCAAGGAACTGATAAGGACTGATAAGAAAACTAAGACTAACAATGAGAAGGAACTGCTAAGACCACCAGGACTGACAAGTGTTCCCATTGCAGCAAGAACTGCTACTTGAAAACTGAAGTAGGCCCAGAAGGAAGCCTTATATAACTGGAACACAAAAAGGAAACTGACTAGCCAAAAGGTACAAACAACTAAAAAATCCATCCATAAACAAAATGTGATATATCTATACAATGGGATATTATGCAGCCATAAAAAGGAATGAAGTGTGAGCCAGGCATGGTGGTACACATCTACAATCCCAGGAACCTGGGAGGCTGAGGTGAGAGAATCACTTAAACCCATGAATTAAGAGATCAGCCTAGACAACACAGGAAGATCCCATTTCGAAAAAAAAAAATATGAAGTACTGACACATGCTATGATATGGCCAAACCTTGAAAACATTATACTACGTGAAAGAAGACAGACACAAAACACCACTGTTACATGGTTTCACTTCAAATAGCCAGAAGAGGTAAATTCATAGAAACAGAAAGCAGACTTATGGCTGCCAAGGACTAGGAAAGGGAGGGAATGAAGAGTTATTGCTTAATGGGTAAAAGGTTTCATTTGGGGGTACTAAAAATGTTTTGGAACAAGACAGAGCTGGCAATTGTACAACACTGTGAATGTGCCAAATGCCACTGAATTGTTTAAAATAGTTCATTTTTCATGTTATGTGAATTTCATCTTAATACAAATAAATAAATAAATAAATGGTAAGGAAAAAGATGCAGAGATATATCGACCACAAAAATAAAAATTAAAAAAAAGGTATTTAAAAACTGGTTTTCAAGGAAAAGCTGGGGAGGGAACTGGCTAATTTTAGGAATCCTACCAATCCCTATAAAGTCACAACAATAAATGTTGGTGAGGATGTAGGGGAAAAGGCACACTCATACATTGCTGGTAGGCCTGCAAATTGGCACCAACCACACTGGAAAGCAGTATGGAGATACCTCAGAAAATGTGGAATGGAACCACCATTTGACCCAGCTATCCCAACCCTAGGTTTATACCCACAGGACTTAAAATCAACATATTAGAGTGACACAGCCACATCAATGTTTATAGCAGTCAATTCACAATAGCTAAATAGTTATATATAGTTTTATATAATTCCATGTGCTACTGAGGTGGTCCCATATTCATGGGCTCTAAATACCTACCGCAAACAACACATTTATAGAATTATCTGGTATTCTCTCTTTCTGGAAATTTCACCTCAAATTGGGGTCTATAGGTTAATATTTATGAACTAAAATTCAGGGCACATACTCTGATGAAGTACCAAGTATATTCCCAGGGACAATGGACAGTACCAAAAAATTTGGGATAACTGGCTGTTGAAATTACAACTTTCTTAACAAATCTACTATGAATGGATTAAAAGAACTCAGTCACAGAGATTTTATATATGGAAATATTAACAGCAGAACTGAATCTGATTACGTTTTTTAAAAACAATTCATTTTTCAATGAACCGGACAGTTGGAACAGGCTTTAGTATCGCCTATGCTCACTGGGATTGGAAGTCTCCCGCTCCCTGGAGTGCTGGGCCTTTTTATGTCGACGGGATTTATCTTGACTACTACTTCTACTTCTGTGACTCCGCCTTCCAGAATGCCCATGGCTCCTACTTCTACTCTTTTGACTCCGCCTTCCAGAATGCCCATGGCTCCTACTTCTACTCCTGTGACTCCACCTTTCAGGATACACATGGCTCCTACTTCTACTCCTGTGACTCCACCTTTCAGGATACACATGGCTTCTACTTCTACTCCTGTGACTCCACCTTTCAGAACGCCCACGGCTCCTACTTCTACTCCTGTGATGCCACCTTTCAGAATGCCCATGGCTCCTACTTCTACTTCTGTGATGCCACCTTTCAGAACGCCCATGGCTCCTACTTCTACTTCTGTGACTCCACCCTTCAGAATGCCCACTGTGACGGCTAGAATGTGTGTCTGAGCTTCGCCCTCTATCCCTATTCCTATTCTTGTCTTCTCTTGCCTCCTTCTTGCTTGAGGGCTTGTGCTCATACTTGGGTTTCTCCTTCTTGAGCTCCCTCTCTGGGCCCTCTGCTCTAACATGGCAGGAAGTCTTGACATCAGGGGAGCGTGGGTAGTGCTTCTGTCCTTCTCTTGATTCAGACTTCTGAACCTTCTCTGAGTTCTTACTGCTGTGTTTCTTAGGGGCAGGGTCATCCTTTTCTTTTATTGTCTTGCTTCCGAGAGATGAAGATGATGGCTGCTCTGCTTTTACCTCCCTGTCAGTCTTCTCTTTGTCTTTCTTTCTTTTCTTTTTTTCCTTTTTCTCTGGAGGAAAAAGGAAGGCAATCAGTAAGAAAAGAGAAAAACATAAACTCCCCTAAAAAAGTGCATTTGTTCTGAGTACATCACATCAAACCAAGTTGTTATAGTTAAAATCTTCACATACTAACAGATAGAAAATGTGCATCAGGAAAACATTCATGACAGCAGGATGAAGCAGTCACAGGCTATGCTTTCAGTGCCCTTAAGAAGTAATTTTGGACATATGTGGCCACTGACAGGTCAACTTCCTATACAAGGCAATCCTCACTCTGAATTCTCTTTCAAGACCATGTCTCCAAATACAGTCACATTTTGAGGTACTGGTGGTTAAGAACTCAACATATCAATTTGGGGGGGGACAGAATTCTTTCCATACCACTATTCTTCCACTGATACCTCCCCTTTCCCAGTAAAAATAAGAAACCCCACATCTTCCTCTTCACACTTAAGAGTTGATTATTGACTATCCATGAATGCTAGGGAGACCAGACACTAAGACTACCTAGAATCTTCTTTTGGGTCTCAATGCTTCACCTTTTTTGTGCTTTTTTGTGGGTTTGTCATCTTCTAAACTCTCAGATGAACTCGATGAGGGGGTGTTAGCCCCACAGCCCTTCTCCTGGAGTTCTTTGGTCACATCATCTGCTTCTTCTGAGTCCTTAGGAGCCCGATAGTTAGACACATGATCCACACGAATAGTTCTTCCTTTTATCTAAGCAAGAAAGGCAATGCTTCAGCAAAGACAGCCTTCATATCGAACAATCTATTGCGCCCAAGCCATGAAGAACAATGGTTTGAATTATATCATTATCTTTTTGCTACTTTCGTTTCTGGGGAAACCACTAAAGCAGAACTGCTCAGATGGTATGTCACAGCACATGTATTAGATATTAATACACTCAATGATCTCAGAAGCTAGGTAGGGTGTGTTGCAGCAGGGGCGGGGGGAGTTGCACCAGCAGCCTCACTGGCTTACCACAGGGTGCCATACAAATATCTTCATGCTGTATGTGTATGAAGTGAAAAAAATCTGGGAAGTACTGCCCCAAAGCACAAGTGTTGGGGAAGACTATGAGAATTTAGAAACACAATGAATTACCCCCAACTTATAACAGTCTACAGTGAAACATAAACTAGACAAGCATTGCAGCTAGATGGAATTCCTGAAATCTAGCTTAATGCTATAGCTGCTTTCTTAACACAGTAGGTAGAAGGCAAAGTGAGATCAACTGTTGGGGGTGGGGGCAGGAAATTGACCAAAAAAAGATTACTTTCTTTTTTCTTAAGCCCTCACGCCTTGTTCTACCCATACCATACTGGAACACAGCTCACAATTGGGCCAAGAACCACGACTCTCCAGGCAAAGAATGACAAAATTAATCTTTCATGTAAAATCCTATTTTCAAGCAGATACATACTTTTTCCACAGGCAAAGACAACTGAAATTTGCAATTTGGCTCTTACTGTTCCAACACAAGAGAAATTTTCATATCTTTTAAGCCTGAGAAGCTTCTATTATCTATCAGATTCCCATTTTGAAACATTTTTGAAAACTTTCCTGACACAGTGACTCCCTATGATTCCTGGCTCTCTTAAAATTTCATACTGACTGACTTTTGTACAATTTGTTATGAGATTAAAAGATTTCCCCCCCCCAGGACCCAATATGCTAGGTCAGCAGTGTCACATGACAGATATGCACACCTATATCCTAGGCCATGAAGCCCTGATAGAGCTCCAAGTCCCTCAGCACAGGACAATATGGAAGAGCAGCATTACCTTGTCTCTTCATTCTCTAGTACACTAGAGATGAAGGTGGAGGACAAGAAGGGAAAGGTGAAAAATAGAAGCCTGAGTGTGAGGGTGTGTAACACCCATGGTTTGGCTTGTTAATGGGAAAAAAGAACAAGTCCTGGCAGAACCATGAGCCAACAGAATATTTCCTAGAATCACTTCCTAGCTGGTAGCTCTACAGCCCTCCTAACACACCCAACCAATGAGTACATCCCTGAACCTATGGGGATCAGATGGAGAATGAAATCCAACCCCTACACCCAGGAAAAGTTCAGCCAAATCTTGCTTAATAAGCACATTTAGGGGTTGGGGTTGTTTGGCTGAACCCAGGAAAAGTTCAGCCAAATCTTGCTTAATAAGCACATTTAGGGGCTGGGGTTGGGGCTGGGGTTGTGGGTAAGAGAACTTGCCTAATACATGCAAGACACTGGGTTCAATCCTCAGCACTACATAAAAATAAATAAATAAATAAAGGTATTGTGTCCAACTACAACTAAAAAACAATAAATAAATAAATAAATAAAATGCTTACCTTAATCCCATTAAAATTGTCAACAGCCAAAACTGTGCTCCTTTGGTCTTCATAGCAGAGGAAACAAAACCCTTTGGATTTCCCAGTCTTCTTGTCTCGCACAAGATTAATGTTAACAATCTCCCCATATCTGTTTATTTTACAAAAGAATAAGACACTATTGATGTAAAATGTAAACCTTTGATTGAATCACAAAACAATAGTCCAATATGGACAGTATAGGAGATGTATTTAGAAAAAGATGACTTAAAAAGGTTGAAAATAAAATGTTAAACAAAGATACAGAAGGATTATCCAATTGAAAACATGGGTGGAAATATTAAGAGTAAAGACATGGAGCTGGGGTTGTGGCTCAGCAGTACAGCACTCGCTAGCATATGCGAGGCCCTGAGTTCGATCCTCAGCACTACATATAAATAAATAAATAAATAAATAAATAAATGTATTGTTTTCAACTATAACTAAAAAATAAATATTAAAAAAAAGAGTGAAGACATGAAATTCAAGGCCAAAATTAAGCGGGACTTAAGAGGGTTATTTTATATTTTAAAAGGTCCTAATATATAGGTATAGCTAATGAAATTATGCCACAATTAAGAAATTAAAATTTTAATTAAAAATGGTTACAGCCTCAAATGCACAGAGCCTTGGGTTCGATCCCCAGGACCAAAAAAAAAAAAAAAAAGTTAGAAATACAAAGAAAGTTAGGGGAGATTTAAAAACTTTTTTCAAGTTTATAACAAGTGACAGAAATAAATAAGACCAAAGAAATTAACATGAATTTATATGATACAAATGCAAATAAAACATGACAATAAATCTAACAAATACTTCCAGAGTAGTATACACAGATATATTTGAATCCTATAAAGAGATTACAATTTCTTTTATAGTATTCATGAAATATATAATAAAATTAGCTGTAGATCAGGTCCCAAAGTAAATCTCAATAAACTCCAAAAACCAAAATAGACTATATTCTCCAAAGATAATGTTATAAAGCTGGAAATAATATTTAAAAAAAAATAGTCTACTAACTAGAACTTGAAACATACTCTCCCAGCTAACAACTGGACAAAACAAAGATAAAATAAAGAAAAGTGATCAGTGATAGACTATTTAGAAAAGAACAAAAATAGAAAAATATGTACTAAAATTTATGGGATGAGACTAAGGCCATACTTGGGAAAATTTGTAACCTTAAAATTCCAGATAAATTAAACTTTTATAAATTAAAAAATAAAATCACAGAAATAGCTGAGGGAATAGATATGTGCTTGTGTGTATGTATATATGTGTGTGTATGTATATATGTGTGTGTGTGTGTATGTGTATACACACACACACACACTCATCAAATTGCATGCTTGAGATTTGGGCATTCTGCTGTGTATAAATTTTTCTTTACTGGAAATGAAATAATAACGTGTTCAGGAAAAAAAATTAAAAGTAAAATCATAAAAATATAATAGGAATTGATGGAAACATTACATGAACATATCTATACATCTCAGTCCAAAATCTAGTACTTTTTTAAGGAAAACACCAGAGGTGATTCAGTTAAAGCTAAGAGCTATCTAGCAGTAAATATCTAGCAGTACAGGTCAATGTAAATAGATAAAACCAATACAAGAACTGGAAAAACAAACCTATCTCTGTTTGCAGATTACATATGATAGTATATATAGGAAATCAAACAATCAATAATGAGCAACGAGGGGCTAAGGTTATGACTCAGCGGTAGAGTGCTCACCTAGCACATGCGAGGCGCTGGGTTCAATCCTCAACACCACATAAAAATAAATAAATAAAAAATAAAGGTAATGTGTTCAACTACAACTAAAAAAAATTCAAAAAATAAACAATGAGAAAAATAGTATAACAATTCAGTAAAGTAAGAGGATACAGCTGAAAGTCAATAATTCTCTTACACAAAACAATAATCAGATGATATAATGGCAGGGATATACCATTTATAATAGCAACAAAAAAATACTTAGAAATACACTTAACAACAAGCAACGTACAAAACATATAAAAAAAAGTTTTTTAAAACTCCCGAAAAACACAAACATATTTTGAACAAATATAAGGACATCCCTTGTTCTTGGACAGGATGAGTTGATAATCAAAATCTTCCCCCAACTTAATATATAAATTAAGTGTAATAACATAAAAACAAAAGTTTGCCACCCTGGTGTGGGGGTCTGGATAAGTCTATTCTAAAGTTCTTCTGGGGAAAAAATGAACATGTAAGAATGGCTAGGAAAACCTAAAAAAAAAAAAAAGAATGAGTTATGAGCATGAGAAACTCTACAAAGCATACTGAAAAACTTGTGAATAACTAGTGTGGCTCTGACCAATGGAAAGGCAGACAAACCAACAGAACAGAATGTAGAGCCACACCAAGTGTATATGAAAAAAATTGTCTATAATGGTGGCATCCAATTTTCTGGGGAAAACATGGATATATTAGTAATGAGGTAAGTACAACTGGATATCCATTTGAAAAAGTATAAAACTAGATCCAGATCTAGACTACAGCTCGGTAATAGAGTGCTTGCCTAGCATGCATGAGGTTCTGGTTCCATCCCCAGAAGACACATACACATACACACACACATACACAAATCCACTGGATCCAAACTTCACATTGTACAACAAAATAAACTCTAAGTGGATTAGAGATATAAATGTAAAAAACTGAAACCATAAAATAACATGACAGTAATAACACAGATGGGTGAGTGGAGAGAAATACTTTCTAATTATGATTCAAAATCCAGAAGCAATAAAAAACAGACTGATGAATTTGACCACAGAAAAATAAAATACTAACGGGTAAGCACAATGGAGTTTTGGGAGTGATGAAACTGTTCTAATTGTGGGGATGATTATACAAATCTATACATGTATTAAAACTCATACAGCTACATATTTCTCAAAAATCAATTTTACCATATGCTAATTTAAACATATTAATGAATGAATGTATAAAATAACTTTGCCCAGCAAAGAAATACCCATTAAGTAAAGTCAAAAGACAAATGACAAACTAGGTGAAAATATTTATAATGTATATCACAAGTAAAGGACCAGAAAGCAATTTTTCTTTTCTCTAAAAAGAAATTATCAGAACAGGGCAGAACTCAGTGGTAGAGTGCTTGCCGAGTATGTGTGAGGCCCTGCGTTCAATCTCCAGTACAAAAAAAAAAAAGGAAAGACATTATCAGAACAACTAGTGAAGGTGAATAAAGTCTATAGATTAGGTGATGATATTATATTAGTACTGATTTCCTGAATTTCATGACTACACTAAGTTTACACAAAAGAATGTCCTTGTTTAGGGGAAGGACATTGAGGAATTTAGGGACAGATGCATCGTATCTACAACTGACTTAAATGCTTCAGAAAAAAAATTATAATATCTACACATGAGAAAAAATAATGATAAAGCTAATGTGGATAAAGTGCTAAGACCTTGGGGATCTGGATGAAGGGAATATAAGTATTCTGTACTCTATTTTATAATTTTCTATTTTAAGCCTAAAATTATTTCAAAATTAAAAAAAAAGAAAGATAAGAGCTGGCTTGAAAGGAATCCTACTGACTCTAATTGGTACAATTTGTGCATCAGGAAAGAATAATGATAGTAACACA